CATATATTTTCGCTCGTCATCCAGACGACGTTTAACCTTGAGCATGTTTCATACATGTGTGTATGACAGTGATATGTGACTAATCACTTTTTGTGTATCATACATGACTTTTAGAAAAGGAGTTACCTCTCTATTATTCTCTGAATAGGTATATTAATGAACTCCAGCGCATTATGTGGGAGATGGAACGAGATAAACTTCTTATATGTCGACTTGTTTGGTTACAGTTAGAGATTTATGATATCTGTCGAAATAAATTCACTAAATAATCCAATTATTGACTAATTGGAATTGGGCGAAAATCCTGCTTCATATTTAGACAATGGTTTTCATATACTAACTGATTATATACCAATATGTTTCTCCATATACTTTAATTCGAATATATTTCAAGGTTTGTAGTCATTACTTTGCACTTTTAGAATTCAGAATCAACAGTCTAACATAAATGAACAATCTCTTAGTGTATTGAAGGAGAGCACAATCGGTGTCAACCTAATGTACTACAGTACAAAATTACAGAACATCTTAATAAAATCTCAGAACCATACAGTAAATTCTTCATTTGCCAAATGTCAATCAATCGTCTCAGAATTCATTGTTATTTCGTTTCCCCACCAATCATTCTCTGTTCTCGTTCTCTTTCATTCGATCTAGTCAACATTATGCAGCCAGGCATTTCACTTTCGATTGATGATACATACTACTTATATCTGTCGATATGAGTAGTACACACCACATGAGTACAAAATGGTTTCATGACCTCTGAAAAGCTTCAGACTAAACCTGGGAGAGAAGTGTTATTTCCAGAAGATATTCTCAATTTGTGATTTTTACAAATGCAACATTGTAAATAATAATGTAAACAATATTTGACCTATAACATAATGAAGATACTACTCTGACCACTACTAATTTACAGATTCCGGTGTAACAATCTGTGTACAAAAGAAAGCAGTTACGACAGTTAAGCTAATTAGGTCACATATCATTTTATTTTGTACTTCAAATGTATTAGAATACTCCTTTTATCGTCAGTCAGTCTGTCAGCGACAACGTAGGACCAGACATATATATGCATCGGTTCAATTCGCCATTCTGCATTAACACAGTAAGAGGAACACCGGATTCCTGGTAGTGGTTAATTCGGTGTTAATATATAAAAGGTAAATTGCATATAAGGGCATAATACAGAAAGAAAGACGGATATGAAGCGATTTCAATCTAAGAGTTTAAGGGAAAAGCGAGAGTGTATACACCTATAACATTGTGATCGATACTGAGCCATGTCACCCAGAGTCTCCAATCATTGTCTACGATGATGATGCAGACCTCACCGAAGTAGTCTGCATCTTCCTTGTATGGAATCAGTTGTGAATATTAAAAACAAAGAAAAAAGCCTTGATAGGATCCCAAGACTACTAATCTAATCTGGTATGTGTAAGATGCACTACAGTTGGCTTTATGGAAATGTATGGTTATTTAAACGTAGTTGCTGTTACGTGTGATCGATAAACGAACTCACCAATGCTAACATGAAATTCCCCCCAACACATTAACCTTCTTTGACCTTGACTCTGGCTTGTTTATCCACCAATCACAATTTTATGTTCATTTATATCAATATTCGTTTGGTTGACTCATTTCTTCTATAGTCAAATTACTGTTCGGTATGTTATTTATGTTTTTCACTTTCCCTGATTAATAGACTGTATTGTTTATTTAGTATAGTGACAGTGTTGATTTACGTTTTAGAAACAGATAAAGTTTATCAAGCCGAATAGCTTACTTGAACTGACTTTGGTTAAGCTGAGCGAAGACTCTTGTAGTGTGGCGTCGAGTCGCGGTTGACTATGATCACCACTACAGGAAGACTACGTGCCAGTTATCAGGTTATATTCCTCCTTGGGCCAAATATCAGAAAACAGTTGATGGCTTTAGTCGAGATGTATTAGTTGGCGATCTCGTGGTATCGAAGGAATACCGAGATCGTGCCGAAGGAGTATAAGTGTGATTATTGAGCGTAACCGAATTTGTGCAAGGTCACAATCGAAGGAAAGAAGAATGTCTTAGTACAGATAAACAAGCAAGTACGGTAAAACAATCGGTTACAATAATGATTGTTTTCATTACACCAATCACGTTCTGTTGAATAAAGTAAGTCAGTACACTCTGTTTTCGACAGTCTAGAGAATAGTTTGGAATTACACCTGTAGGAGGTTACTTCCTACAGTTGATACCGAGAGGCGAGAATATGGAGTACCCAATCAGGTTTAAGATAACAAGTCTCGGATTTTGGTGCGTAATTGACTCATCCATCATGCCAGATAGTATAATGGCATTTTAGCTTATGTGAGTTCGTGATGAAAAACCGTAAATCTAATTCCTAACTCTAACCATCAACTGTGAATCCTAATCCTTACTGTTCAAACTGTTTTATAACCCGCATTTATTCCTAGTAAGAATGCAAACACAAAAGGTCAGTTTGGCGTCGTTCAATGATCGTCCATAAATTATAGTCTGACCCTATTAAAAATTAGTTTTGATCAGTTCGAGTCTCTTAACCAATGTGTAGAGAATTGTCATTTTCTGTAGTTTTAATGAGAAACCTAACGTCTACAGTTAACAGAATTGAAATGGAAGCGGCTAAATAAATAAACGCATGAGGCAAAAGAATTGGGACATGATCTTAGTACCGTTAAATTCTGATCGAAGCGTTTCGTTAAATGTTAGTTATTTGTTTATTCAGGAAAGAAAATTGTGATTTCTCCGTTTGGAGTATTTTTCATGCTGTGTGCTCTGTTAGGTTGAGGTGGACCTAGAAAGGATACGTCAGTGTAGATTGGTAACACAGTTCTTGGCAAATACGATCGTAATAATAACGACTGGGAAAGTCTTGCATCAGATACAGTGTGGTTATGTAGATCAATATTAGATTCGTTATCTGCAGAAATGACATATGTACACTATGAAGTGATACATTCAAATTGTAATAGGAGCACAGCTCCGACATAAATGGGGGGAGAACCGAGTAACAGGCTTGTAATAAATAAACGGTAGCATAAGTTACGGTTGGATAGCTATTTTATCCTAGTTTAAGGTCAATCGATCGTAAATTACAATCATTGAAAAAGGATAGGAGTAATATCCTTGAAGTGTCTAAATGAATATGGCATCCTTGGACCATTGAATTTATATTTAATGTCCTACATATTTTGTTCCAGATGATGTACAATGTAGTGTGACGCTTGTATAAGTCATTAAAGGAGACTAATATCAATAATAATCCGTAACCAGATTTCGCAATGCTTGCTCATCTTGCGTTGGCAAAATTTGCTGTCCAAGTTCAATGTTTTACAGTATGAAAAGTACTCATCTAATATTACAATGGTTTCAGTTTGATTCAAATGGATGGTGCTAATAATAAGTGAAATGATAATAATAACGCCAAACTGAAGACGTTGTTACCAAATTATGCAGTATGTGGTACTTTGTTAAGCCCATATAGACTATTCTAGCTTCTGGACAAACCAATTTATTCACTTTTCTGAATGCATATTTTGACCTTGTCACATACTCACTTATTAACCCTGACTGTTTTGATTTGTGAGTGTGTGTGTGTTAATTACTTTATTCATCAAATGTCTGTCAGTTTCTTCAGACCCTAAATATTAAGTAATGCTTAGTTCAAACGAGTTGGCTGACATGAGTTCTTCGATCCGTTTCGCCCTTATGCAATTTGACTATAAATTTTCCGGTTCTGATTGCCTCATGATGATAAACACCGTTGAGATTTATATTATAACGGTTATCGAGGTAATCGATCACCGAAGCGAAGCCACTACAGGCATTACGTAAAAGAATACTTAACTGGATTTTCCTGTATTTGTGCCTATATCTAGTAAATTGAGTAAAAGTGCATTATATGTAAATTATATGTTAATGACAAATTGATCAAATTATTAATAAAGAGGGTTTGTATTGATTATTAGGATCTTCATTGTTTTCATCACATATTGATCTTATTTAGAAAACCATTGAGAAGAAGAGTATACTAGACAGCTGTTTCTTAATGGTAGTGTACTCGTCAGAAAATGACAACCACGACCCTACCTAACATCAAAACAAAGATGTCCAATCGCGACACCAATGAATAACCGCTAGATCATAGATTCGGAATCCTATGGTGCAAGTGTCAAACATTAAATACTTCTAGACTGGTGGCCACATTGAAACATGATCGATAGCATTCGATCTGCACTAATAAGGACTAGACAAGCAAGACATTGATCACCACCCAGTGATCAATCAATTGTAATTACATCTCAGTCCTACAGGAGGTTAGTCACGGCTCGGATAGCTCAGTGGTAACGTCTCTGACTGTTAAGCTGGGTGACACGAGATCGAATCCGCCAGGGAGCGTCAGTTCCCTCAAGATTACAGGTACACCTTGCTGACGAGTGCCAAGTAGCACGAAACCCGGGTCCAGGGTTTCCTGTTGACTACCTCCAACCACCATCTAAAACTTCTAAATACTTTATGACCATATCGGATGTTCGCTGCTGAGGTCTAGCAATGCGGGAAGAAACATCTATTGATTTGGATAGTTTTGAATAGTTTTTCAAAGAAATCAAGTCCATGAATTGAACTATGAAAAATTTTCTTATTTTTAAGTAGCACCGATATATGTTATTCTTGCTTTAGTTTTAGTGAAGTTACATTTTACTTTACCGAAATTGATGCAGTGCTGTATTTCTCTTCATTTTAATACTTTCAGTGGAATTAGATGATTGGGAGGTGCGTTTTATAGAAACGTTAACAGAAAGTGGTAGCCGTCAGCTAGTTATACCTGCATCTCATGATTGATTTTCACTCTGAGATTCAAAACTGGTGCCATTCGTTCCACTTAGCTACTACTGAGCCTAGATATCCACTCGTTTGTGCAACATGATATTCCAAATGATTACAAATTACACATTAAGGTTGGTTAATGGTATAGAGAGACATCAACATGAATAACCAGGAAGTGTTGATTAGTTGTTTAGTCCTAAACAAAGATGGAAATCAGTCTCACTGTCCATACTTTTAGATCAGATGAGATTTCAGATTATCTAATTTCTAATGTAATAAATATTTATTTATGTCATATGTTCAAAGCATATTAATGGTCTATTCATGCACGTATTGATCCATTAAGCTGCGATAATATTATTAGACTTAATTGGTCGAACAGTAGTTTGGTTTCTAGTGTTATACGCATTGTGTTGGACAAGTTAATCCGATTTAACCAATCTTGATCATACTACTGATGAATAGTAAGACACATATCTGTAGGATTAAACCAAGACTTGCTTTTAAAAAAAAAACGGTGATTAGCTAATTATATATAAATATACACAGATATCAGTTATTAATTTTATCGAGATCCGTAGTGGTTAAAGACATGTGTATAAGGTTTTCTACAAAAGTCGATGATCCATATGCTAATATTCCAAGTCATAAAGCATTTACCCGTACGTATCTTTCGACAGTTACTGCAGACTTTGGTAAGTTTTATTAATTATTTACGATTGAATTCGTATATACCTCTCGATGGTTGATTAATTTATAACTTGATTAATAATGTCATTGATAAGAGTTTTAGTGAGAAACATTGATCAGTGGAGTTCAACTGAGTCTGTTGTGACATAGTAACTCACTGAAGACATTGGTTGATGTGTTGTTCGATTTCATGGATTAGTTGAAGTTAGATATTAACACTGTTGCATCCTGGCATGCCCTGTGTTCTAGAATTTAAGTGTTCGCGATCGAGACTGATAGGTAGTGGGTTAGAATATCGCGATGTGGGATCGTGGATGCACTCTGCTATATGATGGGTCAGCTCTCCGCTGCTTCCTGGTTTTCCGTAGTGGTCTATTTTCAATTGACTTATGATCTCAACTATTAATTATTAAAATTCTTGGTTAACTTATCTGATGGAATGTGATCGAAAACTAGATCATGGATTGTCTCAGTACTCTATTCTAATTCGTCTTTATATTTTGATAGCTTCAAATCAGACTATTTTTTTCTGCCTTACATTACATGTTGACAAGATTTCATAATATTTTGTCAAGTTGGTTCTACTGACGTGAAATATGTTTATGCATATGTATGTCGTCAATTGTTTTTCTCATTTATTATTGGAAATCTTGTTAAAATATATACATGAAAAGTGATTGAATCTAGCCGTCGACAAGTTAAAATTTAACACATTTGTGGAACGTTTTTCACAAATTTTCTTTTAGGTTGATTACTTTCAATTTCATCTTACCCCAGTTTACTCTTATCTAGATTTATTTTCTTCATTGCCGACTGTATCATTGTATCTCTTAACACATCAATGAGCTGTTTAAATTTTAAGAACACCTACACCTATATATATATTACGAATGTGTTTTAGTTTCTATCAATTGATGTTGATAAACATAACATTTGAACCATAGAATTATTGATTTACAGTCATAGGTACGTATGCTAAGTTCCTCAGTCTAATCGTCACATTGGAAGCTGATGGATGAAGGATCAGGGGAAAATGGTTAGTTACCAACAGATAAATATTTAGTATGCAGTTTCATAATAGGTCAGTGGGGGTTCGAATAGATCACTGGTATACTCTCTGACTGACATTCGGTGATATAGGTAGATATTCGAAGAATGGTATAGATTCTGTTAAGATTGCACATGTCAATTAAAATCAAGTATAAGGTAGAATGAAATCTATATCCCGTGTTTCTTTGTACTTGCCCTCGATTATTAAAAATTGAAATATCTTTCAAATGTATCTAGAATTGGTAATTAAATTTTAATGTACATAGTACAAGTAATCAATGATATGTGTTTAAACATTGCAACGTTTGAAAGACATAAATTTTAGTTAGCGTCGTATAAAAATATCTTGTGGACAACAAATTCAACGTACGAAGACCTTACTGTTGAAGTGATTAAATGTCATATCACTCAACCTATAGCATAATGCCTAATTTAACCTCAAGACTTATACCTAGAATGTATTTCTATTGTTTACTGTTTATTTATTTATTTAACTTTCCAAATGATTTAGGTGAAGACAACTTCCTGACATGTCCACTTGGTATAATTTTCACACTCGGTATCCTGTTAGGATCTGGTGGTGCTCAAGGTAGAACAGGTTATCAAATTGGAAAAACAATGAGACTAAAATCGACATCTTCTTCATGGAATATTTCGGAAGCTCAACAGGAAATGAAATCATTATATAAAGAACTTAATAACTCACTCACTTCAGAAAAAACATTTTTAAATGAGAAAGAAGAAAATGTTGTTAGAATATCAACAGGTATATTTGTGCAAAAAACTTACGAAGTTGAAAAACGTTTTAACGAAAGTATTGCAAATGATTTTGAAGGAGAACTGAAACAGGCAAGTTATTGTTCACTTACTATTGTTTTGCTTGTAACTTCTCATTGAGTTTTAAGACTGCAATTGATCAGTCTGTTGTTGGCATATGTGCATAATGTGCGTATGCCTCGATATTGCCTTAATTCACAAGCTTTTTATAAGCAAAGATGGATAGTTGCTAGCAGTGGAATCCAGGACGTGCGTTTCCTCCTATTTGAGACTCGTCAGTTGGATGTACTTGCATCTCAGAGTTGATGTTCACTCTGGGACTCGAACATCAAATCTGAGATGCAAATACATCCAGCTGACGAGTCGCAAATAGAAGGAAACGCGCGTCCTGGATTCCACTGCTAGCAACTATCCATCTTTGCTTATAAAAGGCAAATTATTATATTTTGTGTAATTCCTAATGTCTTAAAGAATCAGTTGTTTTCGCGAACATCAATCGATAAGTAATCGACCTGTTTCTTTCATAGAATGTTCTTAAAATAGTTTATTATTCGTGATGTGATACTTCGGAAAACTCCATCTTATTTAGCTGGATGGTTTACTTAGTTTGAAAGTGTAGAGTGGATATATTACGAGAAAAACCAGTAGAAATAAAGAGTGAGTTGGCTGACTGTTTTTTCTCATCTAAATGAATAATAACCATGCATTCAGTCTGAGTTACTTTAAGTTGAACTTAGAACAGTTCCACTAGTAGATCATAACGTATGAATGGAACGAAGCATTTATCAGGTCAGTTATGACTTGAAAAGATGAAAACTCTGTACATAATTCTTAACTAAGGCAAATTATGACAGTTATTGCGAACTGGATAATGAAAGCACCAGTAGCACTGGTTGCAACCAGGTGCTACAATATATGAGGATGATCGGAGAGCGTACAGACTCCTACATAGACTTAGTTATGTGTATCGTGTCGTTATCCACAATTAAAAATTTTTGTACTCAACAACGCGAGTGCACACAAACAATATTGATGCTATGTGGTCGAGGCTGAAAAAGTTTTTGCGTATTTATCATGGCTTTAGTGGCCGACTATTCTGTAGTCATGTGGATGATTTCCTCTACTGCATGCATTACGATTTTAGAACCTCTGAACCTCTTTCTAATCTTGACAAGTTTTTGAACCATGTATAGGAAGTGTATCCACTTTAATTCTTTCGTTTCGTATAATATATTTTTAATCCATACTGACTGCTTGCTGATTGGCTAATATTTCCCATGGTCACTTAAGATTCGTTCACATGTCATTCATAAATTATAGTCTCGCTCCGATTCCAATTCATATATACTTCCAATACCCAAAGCAGCGTGTTCTTTGGTCTTGCACTTTTCCGTTTCCATTCACGATACCAAGTTAGTGATTGCTTCGTGATGCAGTTTGGTAATTTCCTTAATATATGTCCTAACCTTTTACAAGATTTTTCCCTCATTTCCTCCTCCACTGGAAGGTGTTTTGTTCTCTCCTACATTAAGTTGTTGCTGATCGTATCTGGTCAACAGGCACTAAGTATCTTGTGTACATAATTATTTATAAATACTTATACCTTTTTCGTCATGATTGTGGTAGTTCTTAGTTTCAACTCCGTACTAGTTTACAATTGTATATATTTTAACTTACTCGGACTACTTAATTTTTGTTTGATATTATTATGAAATGACATCAGGTAGGGAACAGATGGTCAGTCAGTAACAACGTAAAACTTCGTACTTAGGTACATCAGTTCGAGTTGCCACACCACATTAGCACAGAGATGCAATTGTCGATTCAAATCCCATAGTAGTAGAGTTCGTAAAAGTATAAGCAGTAATCGAAAAGATTAGGGTTTGAAGATGTTATTCAAGGAGTATAATTCAGTGAAATAAATTTGGAAAGAGGAAAAAAGGGACATGAAGAACTCAGAAGACTAAAACTTGGGAGAACACAAAGAGTGGATGCACCTGCTCCATTGCAAACGATTTTGAGCCATGTCATTCAGAGTCTCTAATCATCGGCTGCTATCATCTCGCGGTCCCTAACCAGGTAGTCTACACCTACCAATATGACTCAGTCCACTTGTCAGTGACGTCATGAATTTGTGCCACGTTTTTGTCTGACCACCTCTAGCTTTCTTCCAACCTACTCCTACACCATAAAACATCGCACGTCGAGGCAGTCGGTCGTTGGGCATACGTAACACGTGTCCCAGCCATCTCAACTGATGAGGTTTCACTATGTCATCAATTGATTTGCCATCCTAACCTAGTACCCGTTTCCTAACAACTGCGTTACTTACTCGATGGTCCCAGGATATACGAGCAATATTTCGAAGATACCTATGGTCAAATACTAGAAACCTACAAATATCCTCTACTCTTACTGTCCATGTTTCACTGCCATAAAGCAGGACGGAACGAACTGCTGCACAGTAAACTCGTCCTTTGGTTGATGGATATCTCACCTACGCCATAAATGACGCAAGTTGGCAAAAGCTCCTCGAGCTTTCTGTATCCATGCTGAGATTTTGTCACACACGGGTATCGATGCAACCCAATCCTGAAGCAATATTTTGCATTTCGAAGAGGAGAATCGCAAGCCAAACATGCTTGCATTGTTGCTTAGAGTGGTCAGAAGACTCTGAATTTTGTCAGCGTTTTCACCAAATAGAACTATGTCATCGACATACTCTAGGTCAACAAGTGAATCTCCTGGTAGAACGTCAACCCTTGGAAATTTAGATGAGGAAATTGTTATCTCCAAAAGTACGTCAATGACAAAGTTAAACAAGAATGGAGAGAGTGGGCAGTCCTGACGAACACTATTTGAGGTAATGAATTCTAAAGACAATTCTCCATAAGCTCTCACTCGACCAGTTGTGTTCGAGTAGGGAACGTTTGCAAGGTTAATGTACTTCTTTGATACTCCTTTCAGTGACAAACAATGTCATAGAACCTCCCGACCAACAGAGTCGAATGCTGACTTAAGGTAGAGGAATACTAAGATTACGGGGCGTCTTAATGTGTGTCAATGTTCTATGACCTGACGTAGTGTGAATATCTGGTCTATACAATCGCGAACAGGTCGAAAACCAGACCATCTTTCACATCGTCTGAGCTTCTGTCAGTTGGAGAATAGGCAGAGACGACGAAGAGGCAACAACGAGTGTCCCTATCTTTCCGAGTCTTTACTGTTCCGTTTAGTCGGACAGCGCACAAGCGACTGTCTTCTGGGATCCAGTCTAAGAGAGCTAGTTCTGCCCTAGGACTCAATTCTATACCTACGCCGGCGAGGCCACGGGAAGCAGAATCAGAGCTTTCAGATACACAAAGTGTGAATCGAGTGGGTTCTTTATTTTGGCATGGCGATGTCAAATGAATGACGCTACTCGGATCCTGAATGTGCGTTTCGGAGACACAGCACACATTGATGGCGCGAGATTCTAAAGTCCTAGCTAAGGAAGACTGTTGTCCTATTTGGCACAGTGTTCGAACATTAAAAGCCCCTACATGTAGTTTAGAGTGTGGTTTCGAGAGACCAGGAATAACGTTTTGCAAACTCGAGTCGTTTGCCCTAGCAATGCGAAGTGATAAAGGGATGTGAGAAGGGTTAGTCGTGAAGATAAGAGAGGTATTAGGAGGTGTAGGAAGGATTTGAATGTGACCAACTTGGTCTCGTGTGGTGTTACGGGTATGAGGGCTGGTGTCACTTTCCGGCTGCCCACACCGTGGAAGGGTATCTCATGAGAATCCTGAAAATGAAATCGGATTAGTGTTGGTCTTAACGACCTGGAAGCTTGACCGCAGAGCCCAAGGGACAACTGCTTGAGGCCGGTTGCGCACGGTCTTTTTGTGGGGAGTTTGGTACATCTTAGCTCCGTACTTCAAAGAGCCTTACGCCTGGAGACGGAAATCCGTGAGGTAAAGTAAGGTGTGACATTTTTTGGGTTAAACTGTTCTAACCGTTTCCTTCCTTGTAAGAAGGCAGCATCACTGCAGATGCTGGTTTTCCAAGGGAAACACTTTACTGCTGTCCCACCCCTCTATAGTCAGTTGTACGACTTCGCCCTCAGACCTTGAGTTACTGCTTTTAGTTTTACCATTCTCCAATCGACCTGCCTGGCATGATAGAACATACAGGAACATATGTTCCAGACAATATAGCTCGGTTGAGTCATCACGATAGGCAAGCCCGACCACCGCGTCAAGGTAGCATCTACGGTTGGGCATAAAACTGATAACTTATATTTTGAAACACAAGTTTATATTCAGTAATATAAACACCTTCAAATGTTTATTTTGTTAATAATCTTAATAGGTAACATAGATTATTGATTTAAAGTAGTACACATTCTGAACTGTATATTCGTTATTCCATGTGTTTGTAAATTGGTATTCATTGATATAATTTTATTATCATGTGTAAATATAAACAAAATCTTAAACCCATGATTATCATTTACAGTAATAATAAGTAAGTTGTGAAAAAGTGAAATGATATTATTTATTAGTTTTAATTAACACATATTGTAAACAGGTTAATTGGATAACATGATTGAAATCAGTTTGTGAATTACTAAATAACTAGGATTAATAAACTTGATATTTTAAAATGTATATAATAGTTCCATGTTATTTAATTACACTATGTAGACTGAAGTAGGTTGTTAGCTGAAACCATCTATCATAGTTAATTTGATGAGATCAATATAAACACAATGAACTGTAGAAAATTCTGATTATTTATCAATGAATTACTAAGTTTACTAAAGATATTTTCAGTAGTTGAGAGCATTAGTCAATGGAAACTAGACCACTATGGAAAACCTAGAAGCAGTGGATGGCCAACTCTTCCAATTATCGAACTCCTCAGTAGTGCGCATCCACGATTCCATATCGCGAGATTCCAATTCATGACCTATTGGTCTCGCTCTCGAATGCTTATCCACTAGACCACTGAGCCGGCCGGGATCCAATGTTGTTAATATCTAACTTCAACTAATTCACGAAATTGATTAACACATCAACCCTTTTCTTCAGTGAGTTACTATCTCACAACAGACCCGGTTTAACTCCACTGATCACTGCTTTACACTAGAACTCCAGGAAACAGCTCTTGAAGCCAGTCACTAGTGAGCATATGCTGATTAATATCACAAGGGGTTTTTGTGGATATTATAGTAATTTCATTAGTAATTACTATAATATCCACAAAATCCCCTTCGGATACTAAAGATATTTTCATCATGCAAAAGTATTGTGTGTAATATTTTATTTCAGAGAATCATAATGAAATCATAAAATGGTTTATCTAATAAGTACCAAGTATCAGTTATAGTAAACCAAATGAGGCTTGAGGTTGAGTAGACGTAACTTGAAACTTCAAGTACTACCACAACCATCATCAATAAGGTACAAGTATTTATCAATAATTGTCTACGCAGGATACTCAATATTCTTTGGCCGGATATCATCAGCAACAGTCTACTATAAAACAGAACGAACGAGCTTCCAGCTGAGGAGGAAATTAGGAAAAGACGGTGCAAGTGGATATGACACATATTGAGGAAATCATCAAAATGCATCACTAGGTAGGTGCCAACTTGGAATCCTGAATGGAAACTGAAAAATGGAAGGGCGGAGAACACACTGCTTCGGGAGTTGGAAACAGATATGAAAAGGATAAATAGGAACTGGATACGATTGCTCATGACAGAGTTGGATAGAGAATGCTGGTAGTTGGCCTATGTTCCTCCATGAGAGGTAACAGGCGTAAGTAAGTAAAATGAAACTTGAGAAACGCAATTTGTATATAAGCATAGTATAAAATATATTAATGCTTGATGGTGTCTTATTAAGGATTGGTTGGTTGGTAAAACATGGCAGTATAAGAAAGAATCATTTGGTATTTATTTGCGTCAAGAACATTTCATATTAAAATTTTGAAATACGTAAATTTTAATTTTTATAAACAAACGCTGACCATAAACAATCTAATAATTTCGTTTTGAAAATCAAGGGCATTTAGATATTTTTAATGAATTAGACTAAAATCACTTAGTCGAGACAAATTTGATTCTTTTTATTGTACTAACCAACTACAAATTCGTGTACTCGCGTTTATACTGGACTTCATTTGTAACAGTAATATCGTTCAATTACTAAACCGAATTACATAGAATTGAATTGGAATAGTAGTGGTTCTAATGTCGCACGACTTTACCTCTGTGTGTGATCTAGTCACAGATCTATCGATGTTATGGATTAATTTTGTTTTAAAGTTTACTACTATTGTTATGACTCACTTATCTTTGAAGCATATGCTGCTGATGTTATTCATAACGACGAATTATATACAACTAAATGATCCAACTTAAAGATCACGACATCTGCAAAGCTTACTATCGGTAATCATAATCGGAATGAAGTCATTAATTCCGTTAGTATTTGTTCATTAGAATGAATTAACGCTTACAAATTTGTAATGTTCATTACTCTAGGTGGATTTTTCTAATCGAACTAGTGCTACAGTTGATATCAATGATTGGGTTGATCAACAGTCTAATGGTTTATTGGAGAAATTCTTTACAGATGATATTCCAGATGATACTGTGATGATACTGGTAAATGTTTTCTACTTTAGAGGTAAGCTAGCTATGATCCGACTGTTTAAAGTTTGGAGTTCAATACAAGAACAGACTTGAAGACTATTTGTTGCTTAAAATGTGATGACTTTAATAATCAGAATCACAATAATAGCCTGAATTGTTCATGTTAAGTATTTTGTATTTTGTTTATAGGGCGATTAAAGTGAGGAGGTAGGATGTTCGTGATTTAAGATTTGTGACATATTTGAGATATGTGAAATAGGCGGAACTGTAAAAGTTGAGTGAAGGTTTATGCTAGTATGACTTGAAGTTGGGTCATCTAGGAATAAGATATGTTGATGGATGTGAACAAGCAGTAATCGTATGACTGGACCACCATGGTTACTTCAGATTTACTTACGTAAATGCTATTTAATGAAAATCAAATCATAACAGTATTTCTCGTTAATCGATATTTAGCAGTGATGTAAAGGTAAAGTTACCGTTTAGTAGCCGGATCCGTAATTTGCGTGATATTCACCGGATTTGACTAGTAAAAAATTAAGAGGAAACTGTCACATTTGATTGTGATGGGAATGTTATGAATTAGCTGATTCTGAATACTAGAAATTATTGCAGCTGCATATGTGTAGTCAAGTAATAAGAACATGCACAATATGTTGAAAATAGTGGTGGTCAAGATATTCTAGTTTCAGCTACTTCGTCTCAGACTCAAGCACAGCTCCACATAATTTGGTTTTGATAACCGTATAGTATCATTAATCTTCAAGTTTATAGTGTGGCTCATACCCAATTGCTTGGTGAATAAATGATTTGAATGAATCATTTATTTCGGCTTTAAGAGTTCGCTCAAGCCTATTTATATTCATACTGATATGTTCTTTTTAGCTCAACTGAAATGAGGATATATTTCAGCTATTAAGTTACAGGAATAGATATGTCAGTCACATATTCAATAATAAGATGGATATGCATCTTGCAATAGATACCACTATACTACTCTGGTGTGCGGCAAAAAGTTAAGAAGATCGAAAAAAAGAGAACGAAAACAGAGTGATTAGTGTGGGAACGAAAGAACAATGAATTCTGAGACGGTTGATTGACATTTTGCAGATGGAGTACTTAATTCATAGTTTCCAAATTTTACTAAAATGTTCTTTTATTTTGTACTCAAATACGTTCGATTGTTCCGACTTGTGTTATCGGTCACGACACTACTACAGTATATTCTCAAAATAGTTTCCAAAGATTTTACAGTCCTTACTTTTGGAATAATTTTCGCCATACCCTGGTAATAGCGATGAGTAGGGACAAATTTTCATAAACACTCAGTTGATTCATAAATTTTTCACCTGAAATAATAAATAAATTGACTATAAATTAAGATAATCTGCTTCTTATTTTGAAAATGTGATTGATACCATGAATTGATCAAGCAGATTGTGAACTTTTCTAAACCCTCTATTCTAACTCCGTTATTCTCAATCATTGTATCATCTGGAGGGAAGCACGGGGTACAGTAGACAGCTACGATGCAGCTGGACGACCTATACTGCGTAGATGATTTGGCTCTTCTATCGCACACGCAACAACAAATGCAAGAGAAGGCGACCAGTGTAGTAGCAGCCTCAACAGCGGTAGGTCTCAACATACACAAAGGAAAAGCAAGATTCTCCAATACAACACAGCACGCACCAATCAAATTACACTTGACGGAGAAGATTTGGAAGATGTAAATACCATCATATAACTGGATAGCATCATTGACGAGCACGGTGGATCTGATGCAAATGTGAAGGCGCAGATCGTCAAAGCAAGAGCATATCAACAATTGAAGGACATCTGGAAATCAAAACAACTGTAAACCAATAACAAGGTAAGGATTTTCAATACCAATGTCAAAACTGTTCTACTGTAGGGGGGTAGAAACTTGTAGAACTACCAAAGCAATCATTCACAAGATACAAGTGTTCATTAACAGTTGTCTATGCAAAATACCTCGAATCCGTTGACCAGACACTATCAGTAACAACCTACTGTGGCAGAGAACAAACCAGATTCAAGAGGAAGAACAAATCAGGAAGAAGTGCTGGAAGTTGATAGGACACACATTGAGGAAATTAGCCAACTGTGTCAAAAGGCAAACTATCACATGGAATCCTCAAGGCCAAAAAAAGGGAAGACCATGGAACACATTACTCCGAGAAATGGAGACAGATATGAGGAAAATGAACAAAAATTGGATAGAAGTAGAAAGGAAGGCCCAGTACAGAGTGGGTTGGAGAATGCTGGTCGGCGGGGTGTAAAAGGCGTAAGTGAGTTAGCAAATAAGTAAGTAACTACAGTCAGAAAATATTTTGATCATTTCTAATGCTGCTTTTACCTTACGTCTTACTGCAAAGCCATTTTTAGATTCCAATATACCCCAAAACAAATTAGTGTCATTTGTTTCGGTATGTTTTCAGTTTATCAAATACGGTGAAATGAAAAGATAATATTTTTGTACTGCATATTCATCGAAATAACACAGTTATCGTTAATTTTAGATTTTTGGCAAAGTCCATTTGAGCCTCATTACACTAGGATGGAGAATTTTGATATTTCATCAGATCACCAAATAACGGTTCATATGATGACACAAGACGGAGTAATGAAGTATGGAAAATTCGAAGATGAAGGATTTGAGATCGTCAGCAAACCGTTAAATGTTAGTAATTAAAAGTGTTTTTTTTCTAACTCATGTTATGTTTTAAGTTTGTCAGTCTCTTTATTCTATATTTTGATGGTTGAATTCATGAGTCCATTGAAGCTAGACGACCATGGGAAACCTGGAAATACAGGATAGTCGTTTAGTCTTAAGTGTATAGATTATCAAGGTTTATTTTTGTGGAGAAAATGCCTTATCTAGTATCGTTCACTTGAAAATTAACAGTTCATTTACCCGTGCTACAATTTGGTACCATAAATGTTTGTTTATTTGTAGAGTTTTTGGATTAGGCTTATCAATTTGAAATTACACTCATTTTTAATAAACTGTTTACATTGAACAGTTATTTTCACCCCAACAATTATACAAATGACTTTTTAAATTCTTATTCCGACAACTTTGATGATCACATGAATAGTCATACGAATTACATGATATTTATTTGATATGAACCGAGTCCATATTATTAAACATTATGTTTTCTAACTAGTACTTCATTTTGAGGTACATCAGGTGCTTATGTAGAACAATATATCATTAATCTTGTGAAATTACAATATTTAAGTGTTAATATTCGGGTACTGAATTGATCAGACTTCTTTTGACTCACTGTCTTCTCGAACGAACACTTCAATACTATCTGTGAAAATAAGTTGTGTGGTTTAATGATGCATGAGTTTTTATTGTGATTGTTGATGATACCAACACTTTATGTAGGAGAGATATTCTTAGTTTTTTCAAAAGTGTTAAATCAGTTTTCTCTGATAGTCTTCTTGTGACCAGATGCGAACATATCCAGTTAACAAGAAAATGGTCATCCCCAACTCGACTTCTTCAGATTATCTTAAATTTTAGATCAATCTGGCATAATCGGATAAAACAATTGTATTTCAGAGTATCGTACTTGAATCCTCAGGAAAATCTGAAACTGAGGTCTGAGTTTTCTGTCTGTTATCACGCACCTGTTACGTTTAAGCAATCACCATACCACAGATATTTGAATATGGTACTTATCAGCTTTCCTAGCATAATTGTATTTTGATCACTTGGAAGTTTAGAGTTAATCACTGTGTTAGGTAGATAATTTTATCTGGAATTTTTTTATGTGATTCTGGATTATTGATGTTGTTGGCATGAAACCTCGGAAACTAGACTCGTAGACTAGTTTTGTTCATAGTAAATATTTTCAAGTCGATTTATTCTAATCTCGAATAATTAAGTATTGTAGCCTCAACACCACTGTGATATTTGAAATCGTAAAGCATTTTGATTCCGGCGACTCAAGTATGGATAATGAAATTGATGTAGATGGTGATTTTATTGACTCTCTAAAAACATGACTTCATTCCCATTTCTTTTATTCGTGAAATCCGGTCGCATAACACAGTCCAAATTTTTCACTGAAAAATATATGCTACTGTGGGTATTCCACTCACTGTTGATGCATTGCACGTTAAGCGGTAACTTGACAAGTTTTGTACAGTTTTTTTAACTGAATAGCTCTTCGTGATAAATCGAAAACCGTTTGACTGATTGTAGTCAGGTGTGAACTTGACATGTTTGATATTGTTTTATACAACGACGTAATCTGAATCCACTGCAGTAAACTGTCTTCACTTGTCGGATACAAGAGCATATAATAGCATACCGTGAAAGAGTTTTCAGTTTATTTTGCAGGATGAAACAGACTTTCTCCTACAAACAGGTTTGTTTTACTGTTTGCGTAGTGCAGATCATAGTAGTTGCTTGTTCAAAGTATTCACTTGTTCGAAAATCCATATGGTCTCATAATTTACAAGTGCTTGCTTTTTTAGAAATTAGAATATCAGGCTTACTCTTATTTATTTCATTTCGTTCTTTCTTTCTTTCTTCAAACATCTTCAGAACACACGTTTCACATTTGTTATCGTGTTACCGCTTAAAAAGTGGTCGTTAAATGGTGCCACAGAACTTTTGAATGGCAATAAAGTTTTAAGTGAATATGTAAAGAATTTGAAAGAAACTGCAGTGTCATTACGATTACCGAAATTTACATTGAAAAATACACTTGACCTTGTGCCAACATTAAAGTCTATCGGTGTTGTCGATTTGTTTGATCCAGTAAAATCTGATCTGTCAGGTAAGAATATCTAAGTTGGTAAATTCACATAAAATATTATACATCGTTTATTTTTTATCAATTCTGATTATTCTATTGTGAAGTCTAGTGGATATTAGCACCTCAGATTACTAGTATGTTTTCTATGCCCATATTTTTAATGTGGTTTTATTCAAACGTTCGAAATGAATGAATAGTGGAGTTTTGTGTTATTCAGGAGTATTTGAATTTTAGTACAAATTAAGAATCCCAGAAATAACGCAATTCGATCAAAAAGTTGTGGCTAAGCACGAACGAATGTACTGTATTTGGAATTTGAAATCAAACATTCAATAAGCAAAAAGGAGTCATTAGTTCATTCAAACACCACATCCACCACAGCTTAAATAAGAATCCAAATTTCTGCAATCAATTGTACCTCTTCTTCGTAGGTTCATCGTATCTGTCCGACTGTGTATTGGGTATAGACTCTATATGATCTAGAATAAGCTCATTATTATTAAAATTAACAACGGAAATCGGAACAGATTCACCTGGGTCCTGAGATTGTTTATGATCACCGTATCAGATGTGTGTACTTAAGTCATTGATATCTAGAATTTAAACCATAGATTTTTCAACACTATCCTCACCCACGAAATAATGTTGAATCTCTATATCCCCAAGTTATGAATAATGTGGCTTCATTTAAAACGTATTTCTCACATTGACTAGATTAAACATTAGAAGGGACTTCGTGATAAGGATAAACAGCAGTTGATTGATTAGAAACTGTTGTCTCACAAGGATTCTGACTTTCATTTAACTCGGGTCTGCTATGTGACTCTGTACCGCTATTCAAAGTCGTAGATAAAGACAAATGATCTTTAGAAACACCTAGCTTAATAGGATCACCACTAAAAAATTTTGCTTTAGTTGCAGCGGAATAAATTTTAGTATTGCAAACTGACTGAATGTGTCCAATCAAACCACATTTAAAACATTTGGCATTACGAAATGCATATGAATTACGAGAATGAAATTTGCCACAGAATAAAAATTTACCAAACTTGATCTCACCTTCGTGAACTGTATCACATATCATCAATGAATTGTCAGCATAACGTTGAGTACGCATTGGATTGGGATAACGTAGTAATGTAGCGGAATTTTCGATGTCTTGATGAATAATTTTATGAAATTTCCCACCTTTAACGCATTCGAAATTTGTATACTTATCATAGTCTAGCCGTAGTTCCTTGAGAGTTGCATAAGGAAGCGAGATTTTAGTAAGCTGTAAGCCTCTTTTCCGATTAATGTCATAGCCCAGATTTTGAACCTTTCCAAGTAATCCTCAAACACATCGAAATCTGAATGTATGTCTAACCGCGCAGTCACAGCTCAATTACGACGCCCATGTGATGATCGGAAGTATTAGAATTATAGTACAAATTAAGAATTCCAGAAATAACGCAATTAGATCAAGAAGTACTGGATAAGCACGAACGAATGTACTGTATTCGGAATTCGAAATCAAACATTCAACAAGCAAAAAGGAGTCGTTAGTTCATTCAAACACCACAAGTTTCTTCAAGATAACTGCTATGCTTGGTCTATCGCTAGCCTTTATAACCTTTATAACTCCAAGAGATGGATAGATTTCAAAAGGAAATACGACGCGGTTACCACAGTTTATTGATGTACAGTATGAATCTCAAGCATTCTAAGCGATTATGAATGAATGAGAACGAATGAGAATTTGAATGCAAATTAATGAACGGAATTGAGAAACACATTTTATAGAAAAACGAATAAGTCGTGGAGCAATTTAAGTAACATTTATGCTAGTGAAAAGAATATGCGTGTAGGCTGTTATCCTTGATCGAGCATAAATGCACATACAAACACAATTATAACACACGCATATACAGCCAAGACTACAGTCAGAATTCTCAAGACATACATAAAAACAGTTTCTTTGTATGGAGTTGAAACGTGGAGAACAGTTAGATCGACCTAAACTGTTTATAATTCAGTGCTTGACTATCAATTATTAGTTGTTCGGTTCCCAAAATGTTCATAAAGAAATGGAAAAGACTAAGGTGCGCTGTGTAGTAATAATTACCAGAACAGTTGATGAATATTTAAGATTTAACTTTCGACATCGTCTAAAATTTTAATCAGAGTAGTATTGAAAGTAATCTCCCAAACAAAATCCAGTCTATTCTGTTTCATAGAAGAAACATTTTGCAATTTTGGAAAAGAATAATTCAGTAGAAGTGGAACCTTAATTCAATATGTAATCATTCCTTAATTTTTGACATCATGGATATTGAATTGGATGTTTGAAATGGTAGATTCAGTGGGTAAATGATCTTAGAAATTTAATCAATCTCTAACAATGGAATAATATTTAATATTCATCAACACGATGTACTTGCATTATTGATTTGATGTGTACCTCTAAATTCAAGCATATTAATTCAAATACTTCATGCTTTTGTTCTTTTCCTGTCAGGAATCACACCTAATCACAATCTATATGTGAATAAATTTATTCAAACAAATGTATTGAAATTAAATGAAAGTGGAATTGAAGCAACCACTGTAACTTCACCTATATTTGTGCCTATTTCAGCCACTATACCAGAAGTAGACTTTCATGTAACTCATCCATTTATATGCTTTATATATGATCAACAATTAACAATGCCGATCATGGCAGCTAAAGTAATGAAGCCAGTTATACAATCGTAGTGAGCCAATCATCATTCACCCTCATATATATTTGATAATTAATTAATTTCCACATAAATCGTTTGTTTTATTACAATGAATTATATTACGAACATTCGTTTTGTTTACTTTCCAGTGATTAATAAATAAAGATAATCCAGTTTTCTAAGCTTTTCTTTATTTACAATATTATTTACTGAAGTTGTACGATTGTATTTCGATTCAGTAGTTAACACATGTATATGAGAAGGGGTTTCTTATGGATATTATAGGAATTCTAATAGTTGAGATTATGGGTCAATTGAAGTCAATGTCTCATTTCAACTAATTCACGAAATTGAGCTTTAGTTATTCCAGGATTTCCATGCTGGTTTGACTTCAATGGGTCCATGATCTCTGTTGTATCTAGAACTTAGATTCTTAATATACTGCGTATAAGTTGAGCACTCGGACGCTAGAACGCTCCCAAGTTGCAAATGATTAGACTAAAGAAGACTGGAAAAAATTCACAATAAACTTATTTTTCAGCCTTTTATATTTGCCGCAAGAGTGTCTTCTGTCTTTTCTGATTGGGAACCTATTAATCCTGATAACGCATCAGCTTACCCGAAGGCGGTAGTTGACTGATACTTGATCGTGAAATCGTAACCCAGATGTGTCATTGCCCATCGTTGTAGTCATTTAGCCGTGAAACAGGAACCCTTTCCTTAGACCCAAATATGGCGCGTAGTGGCTAAGGGCCTGTTATTAAGGTGAAATGTCGACCAAATATCATCTTGTGGAAATTTTTTACTGCAAAGATAATTGACAGAGCTTTTTTCTCAACTTGACTATAGTTCCACTCTGTCGCTGTCAATGATCTTGCAGTATGAGAGATTTATTTTTTATGACCCATCAGCAAACATGTGAGAGATTATTGCTCCAATACCATAGTTCGAAGCATCTGAAGCAACCAATATTGGAAGGGAAGGATCATAATGTGTCTGCAGAAGATTGGAGACTAGGAGTTGCTTGATTTTTTCGAAAAATGCTTAACTGTTAGCCGACTTATCCCATTTTGTATTCTTCTCTAACAGATAGTTTGGTGGAGAACTCTGAAGGTGGAAGTTAGGAAGGGAGGTACTATAATGATTGACCTATCCCAAGAAAGATCGTAGGGTAGGGATGTCCCTAGGTCTAGGCATATTTTTCACAGCTTCGGTGCTTGTCCTCCATCTTTATCTATTATGAAACCGAGATACCGTGACTGCTGCATATAAAAGTCACACTTTTCCTTGCAGAGGCGAAAACCATATTCCGCTATGCGTTCTAGCACCTGATCCAGTTTTTTCTGTAAGTTCATTTTGTCTGCTCCCATAATTATGATATCTTGGGGTACTGCACTGTTTCCCAAGGAATTTCACGAGACGTTTTCCCGCGGAAGAAATATTATTTTTCAAGGTGTACCTGAAAACATGAACCCTGACCACACAACTCTGATGTTAGGAAATGGAAGTTCATCAAGCAATCCTTAAGCCCAAAAACATATTAAATCAATCAGTGATGCTACTGGCCAAGATGAACGGAGATTCTAGACACCGGCTGATGAAGATAACCTTCACATACTCTGAGAGCCTTTCGTGCAAATAGATGTCGGTTGCCAACTGGAATACGTAGGCATTCGGATAGGGCACATGACGCCAGGATCAACAACAAAGGCAAACTGGAGCTAGCCGTTCCACTTGTGAACTGTTTTGATCATTAAAAAACGTGGAAAGGACAGTGGCTACCAAATTGGAAAATCTTGTATAGGTAGGTTACCTGTTAATTCACATAAGACTCATACAGGTGAACAGGACAGGGAAGCACACGCGTTTCAAATCGAAAGCATAAACTGCCTCCTGTCTGGAGGTGCACCAAGTACACAACCAAGAGTATTAATCCTGATGAATCCGTGTGGTGCTCATTAAGTTTATCTACCACATAGAGGTGTTTACAGGAAGCCCACTGCCAACATCAAGTACGATAATCGTATGCTGGAAGGATTATCCCGCTTTACTCTTCTCGAACTCATTCATATCATGATTCTAGGGGACTTCAGTCTTCCCTAGTCAATTTCGCGGAACATATGTATATTAGAGGTGAAAACTCTACTGAAGCTCGGTTCTTCGAGTTCATTGAGGATATAGGATTATTCGAAAATATGAAGTCGGCGACTCGTCGTCGCTCTTAAACTGTGTATTTACAAACGAAGAATTCCTAATTGGAAACTTCTGAATCCTGGCTCCCCTGGGGAGAAGTGATCACGCCGTCATAGCCTTTAGTTTGTCAGCGAAACTGATCTGAGACATTCCACCAACAACGGGCTCTGGAATTTCAAACGATTGATTGTGTCAGCTTTACAGGACAACAGATGGATTGGGAAATTCACCTTCAACTTGATGTGGTTGCTCATTTGGATTCTTGATTCACGCGATCTTATGTGCTACAAATCAATCTCTTCCTCAAATGGTCCCCAAATTTTCCAGTCAACCTACAGTCCTCAATAACTGCACTCTTCGTCTGATAAGCCGCAAAAGGTACTGTCGGGCGGAATACAAACGGACTGGTAACAACGGCGCATACAGGCAACACAAACATAGAAAGAACATATGCACAAAGGCAATAAAAAAGGACAGGCTTCAGTACCAGATAAACTTATGGATAAATTTGTCTCTACTCCGAAAAGCTTATTACGTTATGCAGCCTCTCTTCGACAAGCCGAAACTAGAGTTTCCCAACTGCTGGGTCCTAATGGCTCAGCCAACAACGATGGTGACGCGGCTAATCTCCTGGCTGAACATAACTCTCGGTCAGTTCAACTGACCTTCACTAACATTATTGATAACAGCTTCATCTGAAACTGTGCAGGACTTTGTGAAGCGAGCCTGAGCGCTGACTTAGTGTACCGGAAACTGCAGCATCATCAAGTTCCTGATGTGTGACGGTATACACGGTTACTTATTATCCTTAAGCTTCTTTTCATCCCAACAGCATGATTTCAGGAAGAATCATCCTTGTATAACCAACCTACTGACTGCGGTGGAAGGATGGACAGCCGTCCTTGATTGCAACGGAAAGGTTGACGTCATTTACCTTGACTTCTCAAAGGCTTTTGATAGGGTCAACCATATATGTCTTGTAAATAAGCTCAAACGATTGGGTATCAAATCACCTTTAATTGACTGGCTCACTTCATATTTAAAACATCGATATTTTAATGTACCGTACGATTTGAGGTCTTACACTAACTGTGACAAAAATGCCTTTCCAGCAAATCTAGCAGTGATAACAATAATGCGCATTTTTGTCCAGTTTGACGGAAGAACTTTCCACATAATCTTCAGCAGTTTTATCTGTCTCCATTCAGAGTACGGAAATATAATATTTCTCTCCTCACTCCAAAACGACACTCTGGGGCGTATCCAATGGCGAGCCATGAAATCAGCTCGAAGGCTCAAACCCAGGCCTTATGAAGAGCGCCTTCAACCACTCAATCTTTACTCATTGCAGTACAGATGTCTTAGAGGTGACCTTCTATTGGCATCCTTAACAATTCTAGACATCGCCTTAAAAACCTCCAACACAAACGTTAATAGTAACACAGAGAAACTAGATACACAACACAGCAGAACGGACTGTAGACACAAACTCTACTGTCTAAGGGTTGTCAAATACTATAATTCGTTGCCGGCTTATTTAGTCCAAGCGACTTCCTAGAAGTTCTTTAAGAGAAAAGTTGAAATATTCTTAAGGACTAAGTATAGTATCTTCCCATGATTTACCACATAAAATATCATATAGCATTTTTCCTAGATAAAACATTATATGGTTGTTAGCTTATATATACTTCATGCACAACATACATTGATTTGAATTTTATTAGATCTGTTGGGATGAGCTGAATAGTTTTGTAAACTAACAACAAACAGGAGAGTTTCTAGTTAAGACTTAACTAGACGGTTAGGATATGTGTTACGCATGCCCAACCACCGACTGCCACGATGGGTGATGTTCTATGGTGTAGGAGTAGTTTGGAAGAAAGCTAGGGTCGGCCAGACCAAAATATGGCACAAATCCAACAAGTCAACGACAAGCGGACTGAACCATGTTAGTAGGTGCAGACTACCTGGTTCTGGGGATCAGCGAGACGATAGCAACCGATAGTTAGAGGCCTTGAATGATATGGCTCAAAATCGTTTGCCATGGTTCAGGTCCATCCACTCTTTGTGTTCTCTCAAATTCTGATATTCTGAATTCTTCATGTCCCCATTTTTCTCCTCTTTCCAAATTTATTTCACTGAATTATACTCCGTGAATAACATTACAGCGACTCACGTGCAAATGAGTTTATTCTGATTTAACTCAGTTAAGCTCTTTTGCTAACTCATATAACGGACAAAGTCATCCGCACTATAACAACTTATTGTACCCTTATTATTTTGTGCTTGTATGAAATACGTATATATATATATATATATATATATATATATATATATATATATATATATATATATATATATATATATATATATATATATATATATATATGCTCTGGCTCTCGCTCGCTTGATTGCCTTTCGGCACAACTCTTCTATGCTTGTTTGACGCATCTGTACATTTGGATATATGTGTGTGGTCTCGCAATAAACGTAATCAACACTTCGTATTTGCCTTTTTATTAATATACCGTTGGGGCGTTATATAAAACGGTTATCAAGACGAACTGTATACGAAGTTAAGGATTATATCGGATACCGACCACCACAACATCTTCAAACCCTAATCTTTCCGATTACTGCTTATACATTTACTAGCTCTACTACTATGTGATTTCAATCGACAATTGTATCTATGTGCTAAAGTGGTATGCAGCAGCCTCAGTAGCAATAGGTCTCAATATACACAAAGGGAAGAGCAAGATTCTCCGATACAACACAGCATGCACCGATCCAATCACAATTGACGGAGAAGGTTTGGAAGATGTAAAAACCTTTACATATTTGGGCAGCATCATAGATGAACGTGGTGGATCTGATGCAGATGTGAAGGCGCGGATCGGTAAAGCAAGAGCAACATATTTACAACTGAGGAACGTCTGGAACTCAGAGCAACTGTCAACCAACACCAGGGTCAGGATTTTCAATACAAATGTCAAGACAGTTCTACTGTATGGGGCGGAAACCTG